TGGTGATGAAGGTGATGACTTTGATGAGGGTAATCATGAAGATGATGATGGTGATCGTGATGTTGATGAGCATGGGGGTAAGGGCAGTGATGATGATGGTGGTAATGTTGGTGATGATGGCGACGATGATGACGTTGATGATGATGATGATGAGGATGATGATGTTGATGATGATGTTGATTATGATGGTGTTGATGATGATGTTGATGACAATGGCGTTGATAGCGATGATGGTGGCGGGTGATGGTTATGATGACGGTTGTGATGGTGATAATGGTGATCATGCTTGCGTCGATGTCAATGATGATGATGAGGATGATTGTGATTGTGATGATGGTGCTGTTGATGGTGATGTTGATGTTGGTGATGATGCGGATGATGCTGATAATGATGATGAAGATCAGGGTTATGATGGTAAGATGGTGGTGGTGATGAGGAGTGATGAGGATGCGGGTGAGGTTGATAATGATGATGGCGATGATGGTGATGATTATGATGATGATGATGATCATCATCATCATCATCATGGTAATGGTTATGATGCTCATCATGGCTGTGATGATGGTGATGATGTTGAGGTTGATGTTGATGATGATGATGATTATGGCGATGGTGATGATGATGATGTCGATGATGATAATAATGGTGATGGCGATGATACTGACGGTGGTGGTGATGAAGATGATCCTGATGGTGATGATAGTGGTGGTGCTGAAGATGAGGATGAGGATGATGATGATGATTTTGTAGTTGATGATGTTGAGTGATGATTACGGTGGTGATGCTGGTGATGATCACGATGATAAGTCTGATGATGATTGTGGTGATGGTTGTGATGATATTGGCGTTGACGATGATGCTGATGATGATGATGGTGGTGATGATGATGACGGTGCTGAGAACGACGACGATGATGATGGTGGTGATGACGGTGATGACGGTGATGACGGTGATAATTGCGATGACGATGATCATGGTATTGGTGACGATGATGGTGACAGTGATGGTGATGAGAATTGGGATGAGGATGATGGTGATGGTGATGAATTTGATGATGATCATGGTGGTGATGATGATGACAGTGATGATGTTGGCGTCGATGTTCATGCTGTTGATGGTGATGATGATGGTGATGGCGATAATGATGGTGATGTCGATTATAATGGTGATGATGACGATGATGAAGATGAAGATGAATATACATATGACGATGCATATGCATATGTTGATAATGATGATGACGATGATGGTGATGATGACGATGGTGATGGTGATGATGATGATGATGCTGATGATGGTGGTGGTGATGTTGGTGGTGGTGATGTTGATGATGACGATGATGATGGTGATGGTGGTGATATAGATAGACTTTTTGAGGAGCAGCAGGTGGAATGGTGACCGGGAGGAGGGAGGAACAGGAGGGGGAGATGGGGAGGGAGGAGCAAGATACGGAGGGGATCGAAAGAGAAGGAAGAGGATGAGGAGGAGGAGATGGAGGAGCAGGAGGAGGAGGAGGAGGAAGAGGATGAGGATGAGGAGGAGGACGAGGAGTGTGTGTGTGTGGAACGGGCAGGAAAGGGGAATGTGTAGGAGGCAGCAGCGAAGAGGAGGGAGGAGACCGAGGCGGAGGAGGAAGGAGGGGACACTGACCACAGGAAGCCTAGCGCACATCGCACGCGCTGTGGCACAGCCTCCCTCCGCAATGTTATGTCGTGCGTGGCCCTCTTTTCTGACGGGCGGCCCGAGCCTGAAGTGTCAGCTCTTGGCTTCCGTGGGGCTTCCGTGCTGGTGCCGCCTCCGTCACTGCTCGGTGTGTGTGTGTGTGTGTGTGTGTGTGTGTGTCTGTGTGTGTGTTCTTCGCGCCCGCGAGGTGATATCTTCCTGTGGATGCTCGTTTGATTATCTCTTCCCTCTCTCGCTCCCCTTCGCCTCCCTCTGTCTTTCTCCTCCTGGCTTCCGTTGTGGGTTTTGTGTCGATGGCAAGCCAGACCGTAGGCGCTGCACTCGCAATGCCGTTGTCCAGCTCCCATTTTCCTCCTGTTTCCCTTCTTTGTCGAGGGGGGATAAATCCTGCTCATCTCGCTGGCGTTCATGACAGACGACAGTGCTGTTGATTCTGCATTGGTGGGGACTGGCGCGCAGACCACGCCAGCGGATGCATGAATTGCGTCTCCCAGGAGCCCTTGGAGTGCTGGCACGCG